GCAAGTTTCCAAGTTTTTGTTAACCCAAGTAGAAAGTTATCGGCATTGTCATGTAACGCTTGTCGTTCAGCAACGCATTTCGACGTCAAGTTAACGATCTTGCCTCTCGGTTCATCTCAGTGACTTCCTGCATTCGCCTTCGACCATCTCATTGCCAGCAGACTGTGTTTGTAACCTGTATTCACAGTATTAGCCAACCGTTAAGTGATGATTTGCTTCAACATGTGTGTTTACTGTAAACATAAACATAAACAGTTCGTACTCCCAAAGTATGTTAAATATTGAGTAACACGTTTAAGACTAAATTTCTCGACTCAGCGCTTTGCACCACCCCGTCCGCACTTATAATTGTAGTCGAAATCAGTTGAGCAGCGAGTGATTCCTGTTTGTATCTTAGCAGTCAGCTAGGAGCCATGAAATCCGTAATCCAAACAGTCGACATTTTGGCGTATAAGTTGCTTGCTGCATGTTCAGCCTTCGTTCGTTTTCTTGCAAAGACAAGTTAGGTTATTTCTACGGTGCGGTTATCAGTACAAGCGCGATGTACTAGCGGTCGCCGCCTTCTGGAGAATGGGGCATTTCACCTGCACGATCGATGGTGTCTTTGGTAGTGAAGCGCCAGCAGGTCACGCCGTATCGGTCTGAGTATTGTCTTGTCCCGTAAGCTAAGCTGAGGTATCATTTCGGTACAACATGTGTCTGATAGACAGCTGCTTTGTTGCGTGAATTCAAACCAGTTGACCGGTTTGAACTGAGGAAGCAGTTACTCTTCGCACTAAAATCTGCTTATGACTTACTCCTGTAGGGTCAGGGCTGTTGTACGGTACATGAACAGTTGTTGTAACGAAAGAGCAAGCAACCGTGACGGTTGAAATGGGTACATCAGTATCGGCTTCGACGCATAATGAAGGGATCACGTAGGCAATGACTCTGTTCTATTCCGAGCACAGATAATCTTGGTAGATATAGAGGTTAAGAAAGCGATTTTGGCGCTGCTGGAAAATCTGGTTTGGCATGCACCATTTGAGTGTTGTGTTTCGTGTTGAAGCCGAAACACGGCAGACATTGACAGGCAGGCCAGAATGCAACATGCAGCAACAAGGTAAATGCTAATCTGTTTTCGGGGAGGAATGTTTGCTACCGCGATGCAGTAATAGCTGCCTTATAGCACAAGTGTTCTCTCCCTGCAGACACAACGGGTATCACGAACCAGAAACGTTCTGCTTATGCAAACGATTCAAGGTGGTATTTGAGTAGACCCCTACACACACACACACACACGCACAACCCCCTCGGTTCTAGTTGGCCATTGGGTCATCTGCGCAGGCAACGGCTCAATTTCGTTGAACACCTACCGTGCCAGGTGCGTCTCGCTGTTGTCGTGTTGTTCGCTGGAACCACCTCGCCCTCATACAAAGCATGTTTTAGGAATAGGCACTGTTTGTATGCTACCACATAATTGTTTGAAAGCGGATAGTTAAATTTTTGTGCAGGACTTTAATAGTTCTGGTACTTGCCGTAGATTATTTTAATTGAACTTGATGTATTCGTTGTTAACTAGTTTTCTTTCACTGCTGGGACAGCGAAACAAATTTTGCCTGTTCTTCCAGTTCAGGCTGTGAATTTTAAATTGTGCAGATGAATCAGCACTGCCTTGCATATTAATGTTTTTTGTTGATATTTATGATATTTTCCCGAAGAATCTGTTGATTGGTCGGGTGCTCGTGACTGTGGTATTTGAAGGAGTCAGCATGTGCAAAAAGGCCAAGGCCATTAAATTTAGCTTATGGTGTTTTTCTGAGCACCGCCTTCGTCAGTCCCTTCAACGTATGTGTATTTTGTTCGCCCGGCTTTCAGGTCGGTTTTTCAACACCGAGATCAGTTGTATGTTTTTCCGCAACATCGAAACGTAGAACGTTTCTTTAGGCTTCAAATCTGTTTGTGAACAAGTGACATGTCCTACACCGTCTAACGCAGGGAGTAAGTTCGTATGTGTAAGTGTGAGACAGCTGATCGAATTAGTTTCGTGGATTTAGCTTTGTACAGTATTTGCATGGTACTTGAGTACGTGAGTTGCGTACGTGGTTATTTATTACGTATTTTCAAGACATTGTGCAGCTACTCGTCTGTCCGATACCGTCTCATTAGATTGTACTATAAATCTTGCACATTGCCCACATAAGTTTCGACTGTCAGTAGCTGATTGACAAGATCTGCAACGTGATTGGTTATTGCGGTTCGATTTACGTCTAAATTGTTAGAGTTACGACAAGCTTCCGGCCATGCGTTTATTCATAGACTTTTCGCTCTACTCGAACACGCTTACTTCCACTAGGCTGCATTCGGATTACCATTCATCTTCATTCTGCCGAAAGATTAGTCGAAAGTTGGTTTTTACCACCAGTGACACGAGTCAGTTCATCAAAATTGTTACACAGGTCGAAGTTTCGATGTTGCGATGTCTCGATCTCGATCCATCAGTCGTGATTGGCAGACAGAACTCTACTTCGACAGGTAATACACTCGATGTGGTGTCGAAATTCTCTGCGTCATCTCGGTCGTTGTCGATGGCTAGTTTTACTCTAGGCTTCAGGTTATAGGCATCTTAATGGCTCCTGCCTTCCTTGACGTAAATCTCAGCTCGGCCCTTTCTTAAAAACCACTTTTGTCATCCTCGCTGTTTCGAGTTTGACCTCCTCGTGCTGTCATTGCAGAATTTGACCGCTCATTGTTCAGACTCTTGCGACGGTATACAAGCAGAGGTATCGGCATAATGTCTTCAGATTCGTTTCCTGCCAGCACAGCACGGTAATTCGGTCTTAGCTTTAAACCATTATCGCCTTATTATTTTATGACGAGGTGAAATAATTCATTAATTTATTCCGTATTGCGTCTCACTTCGTCTTTGGGTTTCTGTTGTTTCCTTAATTTATGTGTAAGCAGCACCGTTCAGCCGGTAAAATTATCCGTAAGGCACGAAATGCCTATAATAGACCTGGATGCATGTATGCATTTATAAGTTCACACCGTTGTATTTCATGTTTTTCCTTCGTACCTTCCTGGAAACAAAGCGTATGTGCATTTCAAAAAATTTTGACTTGAATGTTGCAAAGTTTCTTACATTAGAAATGATTTGCTGGTTTGACTGTCGAACTGAAAAACAAGTGTAAATAACTCTGAAATTTGTTTCACCAGTCGCCGCGACGAATATCTTGCCGGTGTGTCCTTATTTTGAATGAGTCCTTTATTTGAATCTCTCGATGCACGGAGTGAATCCAAGTGAACTGGATGCTCGATGGTCGAAACGTCAGTTTGCTAAACGGGGCAAGGAGGTGTGTTGGAAAAGAGGTTAATTTCGAACTCCGGAGGTACTGAGGCACCGAGAGATGATAAAATTTGTTTCAACCGTAAATAGCGTTGAGCAATGAATTTTATCAATATTGTGATTTGGCAACCAGCTTAGAAACGGTGAGCAGTATGGATAGCATTGTGTTCTGGTACGTGTTTTTAGAGCGACGTGTAAAACCATGTTGTTCGATACCATCGCTTCTTCTGGCTGCACCTCGTCATAACGATCCTGATAGCTTACTGATGGTACAGTATGAAAATCGGTCCATTCAGTGACCCATCTCCCCCACTACTGAACAAAGTAGAAGTTTCACGACCTGCTTGACAGTTCAGTTTGCGTATCAACTGAGCCTTAAAAATTTACAGTGTAAGTCAGTTTTTTTGTTTGGGGTATTCATCGACAGGCTGCCGGATGAAGGCTTCTCCAACACTGCCACAAAATTATGTTTTCTGCATTTTTAGATTCATCTTAATCCACCGAAATTCTTTAGCTCATCCTGTCATCGATCTGGAGATCATTCTACGGTAATTTGTTCTCTTCTGAAATCCATTCTAATGTTTCTCTGGTCCAGCGATTGTCGGTTCCTCTTTCAACGTGTCCAGCTCATTAGTATATGCTCCTCTCTTGTTTATTAATCTTTCTCTCTTTTCTTGTTCCCAACTTATATCTTTCTATGCTCTGTCACATGCTTCGCAGTTTGTGAATAGCTTTCAGGTTTGGTGTCTACTTTTCGCACCTGTAGGTCAGCACTTAGAGCAGACGCTAATCGAAAACTGTTCGTTTCAAGCAAAGGCGCAATTTTCTGAACAAAGGCATTTTCGCTGTTGCTAATGTAATAAATATCATTTTATCCTTCTTTTTATTTAAGAGGCAACATAAATGCTTCTTAAAGTAATATGACGAATAATGTTTTAAAATGCTTTAATAGTATTTTCTCTGAAATTTCAACATTCCCGGTATACGATGACAGAAAAATGATCGACATATAATGGGGAATGGAATTGAAACATATTTGACATATTTTTAGCCTGGCAGGCATTATAGTAGAAGGATCGCTTGTTGATATTTGTTTGTGGTTTAAAGCAGCTACTTAATTTCCTTACTGCTTAAGGTGTACTGACATGTTTCCACTTTCTCTCTTGTGAGATATACCAATAACGTACCATACATTTAAGGTACAGTAAATGAATTTGTTTTTCTGGCGTAACAGACATTGTTCGAATGACGAGTCTAACGTTATAATAACCGAATACTTCTATGTAAATACAAAAAAAATTCACTCGGTATTAAGGGTGTACAGCAAATTGCTGGGTTTCAGTATCGCTGACTATAATAACATCTTGCGCCGCTCGTTTGTTGGTTCGAACACGTCTGTTTTTATTGGACCCAACAGAGTGATGTGTTTAGCGCTCATGTACTGCATCTGTTCTCCTCGGAGAACACTGGAGCCGTGTTCTGTATAGTATAAACAGTTCGCTTGTGGTAAGGAAAGCAGAGACGGTGTTTATACGTACGCCGAGCCTATCCAAAATTACAGTAGTACTTCAGACTTTCAATATTTTTAATATCCGATTTGAATTCGCATTCTACCCTGAAATTACCTCATCGGCTTTGCATATCTTTGTTTGCTGTTACAGTGTTTCGGTCCACCATGTCTGAAAAATCCGAACAACGCGGATCTTCGCAGTTTCCGGTACCGAACGGTTTTCGAAACCTGCTCGAAGCGCTGGCTCGAGAAGTACTCCGTTCGCAGCCGACCGACATTTACGCATTCTCGTCGATCTACCTGCAACACCTCGTCAAGTTCCGAGACGGTATGTCGATCATTGTCCCCCTTTCGGCCAGGAACTTTCACCGCCTGTTTTTCAGAATATCACGTGAATCCGATCGATGACAAAGACCTTTACGACCATTTCAAAACTGCGTTTTTCAAAGAGGTAATATCTTTATCGAATTCTGTAATACCGGTTCTTATTTTGTGAAGAGCTGACTAAGTAATCAATGTTTCTGTCTTCTTTTGAAGATGATCTTTCTGTTAAGTACTTGTTCTTTACGGTAGTATTTTCGGTTTCAAACCCCAAGATAGATGAAGAGGGTCGGGTTCGAACATAGGCACATCGTATATAAATTTTACTGATCGTTTAGCACTCTCAGATGTGTCATGACGTTCGTTTCTTCATTCGGTAGAGCTTTAGATGCACAGTCGGAAGATCATGAGTTCAGCTCCCAGTCTGTCCAGTGCTTATGCATCATTTTACAGTTAAACTGATGCCGCTTTATGAGAAGGTAAACATGAGGCTACGCGCTGTACTTGCTGCGTGACTGTAACAGTGCGTGTCATATGAAACGCTCCATGCCAGCAGCATGGAAACGGAAATCAGCAGCGCACCACAAGCACTAGCAGAATTGTGACACAAATCATGCTCACCTTAGAAGTGAAATTAATACCTAGATGTCAGAGGTTATAAGTTTGTCATTTTTTTCCTCCATTCAGCCAACGCCAGATTTATGGACTCTGTGCTACCTATATGGATGCAGTCCAAACCGAAGGTTCGGTTCCTACTGTGATTGAAGAACAACCAGCGATAACCTGGCATTACTGTGTTTTTTGGTGATATAGCCAAGTCACAAATGTAAATTCGATTGCCTTCGAACGTTAACGATCCTATGATAAGTCTGTTGACTCAAGCGACTGAAGTGTCGTAACCACGCTGCCAGCTCGTTCTGTCGCTGTTTTAGAGTGAAGTCGATAATGTAGAAAAAGAAATTATGTAATTGTTGGACGAGGTTTTCATGTTCTTCTGCTGCCAGTAAAACATCCAGATGAGAAAGGAGGAAAGGAGGCGACCGTGGCGAGATCTTGGCCATCTGTCCCACGTGTTACTGCCGTTGTGCAACGTTATGATGGCTTGGTCGTCTCCGGGCTGCCAAGGGCCACGTAGGCTATCAGACGGCGAAAGTCCTTCATCAAAATCTGCTTCAGGTCTTCTAGCAAGAGAGGACGTATCACAACGGCGACGACTGCTGAACATTGACCAAAAGAGTACGAAGATACCGGGGATCATTGAAGTCGCTGTCCGTTATTCGAATGGAGGAGGTAGACAGCTCGATGCCATCATAGTTCGCCAGACAGGGTTCCATGAGAACGACACTGACAGTGGGAGCTTGCGGACGGAAATTGGAATATAT